TTGGCCCCTGAGTAAAATAGTAGTAATACAGTGGAAAATAACTCAGTCCCTGAGGATTGGTCCTGATGGATGTGCCTGTGGTACCCACAGGCCTTTGATCCCCAGGTAACTGGGGAGAAAGTCAGGAATGATGCAGAATAGCTCTTGGAACAGGAGGCAAATGAGAGGTAGGTTAACTCCTTCAAATCTTCCTCTGTTTCTTTCCCTCTGCTGGTTAATGTTTTGGTCCCAGGCAGAACTGCCAGGCTGGATCATCGTGGTCAGAGGCAGAAAGGAGCCATCCTGCCCACCTGGCAGTGCCTGGTGATCTCTCCAGTGATGCACACGAAGCTTCAGGTGCAATGTTCAAGCAGATGACTTTGGTGGAGGCTTTGCACAGCTTTAAGCTGTATGGATTTCAAATAGTCCTTGATTGGCAGTAGAGGTCAGGAGGAAGGGAGTGAGAGGAGGGAAGGGAGAGAGAGGCAAAGTGGTAACTTGAGGTCTGTTTTCACATTCCTGTGACCATTGGGAAGGAGAACAAATCAGGGAGCGAAGGGGTTTGTGTAGCTGCAGCCTCACACAGACCTCACCTGCTGCACTCTGCATTGTCAATTCCTCAGGTATTTTTCCCCATCTGTTTTTCTTACTTATGCTTGGCTCTCTGGTCTTTAGACTCTTCTGATCCTGGGCTCAGTCTCAATCTCCTTAGAATAGATATAGTAATAGACAAGTCATTCAGCCTTTCATCTGCCACTAATGATGAATTACACAGCCTGCACCAGGTCATCAGCTGCTAAAAATTGGCTTAGGAACACTGAAATCAATATACACTGACTGAGAATTGGATTCTGTATATGTATTAGCACCTCATTTGCTTTAGGCATTTTGGTTGTTTGGAACTCTGAGACAATTGCAAAGTCCTGCAGGTTTGTGGCTGGGTTATTTCTCACACTGCTCTCGTACTGCTCTGGCTTTGGTAGTCATTGCTGAGGTGATGCATCAGCACCAGCTGCATTGTTTCGTTTCAGATGTCTTTTGGGACATGATTTCTGCTCCAGCTTTCCAGTGCCTATTTCTGCCTTTCAATTTATTGCAGTCAAGCACAGACTCATAGTATCATAGTGTGCTAAGGCGTTGGAATGGAGCTCAGAGCTCCTCCAGCCCCTGCCCTGGGCAGGGACACCTCCCAGCAGAGCAGGTTGCTCAAGGCTCATCCAGCCTGGCTGTGAACACTGCCAGGGTTGGGGCAGCCACAGCCTCCCTGGGCACCCTGGGACAGGGGCTCACCACCACAACAGGGAAAACTTCTGCCTGAGATCTAACCTAATTTTTCCTCTTTCCATTAATCCCCATTGCTCCTTGTCCTGTCCCTGCACTTCCTGACACAGAGTTCCTCTCCTTCTGGATTTTGTAGTGTTAGAGAAGTAAGAGGATATTTGGGCCTGTTTTCCTAACCACATGGTTCAACATGCCCCACTTTGCACTGGTGAAGACTGGGAGGTGATCAAAGGTAAACAGTGTATGCTGCCATCATTTTTCTTCTGTCCCTGAGTCCCAGTCCCAGCCAGCTCTCCTCTCCTAGGAGGGACATATTTTCCTTTAAAGCTCTCCTTAGGTAAGAGTCTTGCTTGCATCTCTAAGCTTTTTCTTTCACTTTATAGATTTAGCATATGAATTTTTCTTGTAACTCTGATGAATTCTTAATCAGCTTCCAGGTTTTTCCTCCAGGATGTTTCCAAGGCTGGTAGTACCTTAAGTACTCCAAATAGGGACAAAATATTTCCAGACTCATCCTATAATATAATTCATATTTGTTCAGCACCTCAGAAATGATCCAAAGGACTTTTTTGAGATCACTAAAACCAGACACCAATTAAACCTTGTCATTATCTCCACTCATGTGGCTATCCCAGGAAAGGCTGGAGCTGGTTTCATATCCTTATTTGAATTATTTTAATTATCATGCTTGAAATCTTGTGTGGCATTGCCAGGGCTGGGGATGATCCCCAATGGGCAGCTGTCAAATTCCATTATGTTCTGGTGACTCTCATTTGGTGGCTCAAACATATTTGCTGCCTGAACCAACCCGTGAGTATTCCCCAAGCTGAAGTTGAGAGCATTGTCTGCTTCTCTCTGCAATGAACTGTTGAGAGGAGATCTTGACCTAATTAGCAAAGTCTCCCAAAGAGCAGCAGAAAGTGAAGCTCCTGCGAAACAAAGGACTCCAAAGCTTCTCACTGTCATTTCTTTTCTGACTTTTCTACTCGTTCTGGAGTTGTCTGCAACATAAATGGCTTTGGCATTGTGCTGGGTTGGGCTGGGGCAGAGCTGGTCTGGCTCCCAGTGCCTCCTGTGGGCTGTGTTTGGGTTTGTGCTGAGCTCAGGGTGATGGTGCACAGATGTGTTTGTTACTGCTGAGCTCACCAAGGACTTTGCTGCTTTTCCTGCTGCCACACTGGGGAGAATGTTGTGGGTCTGTGGGAGCTTGGGAGGAGACACAGCCAGGACAGGTGACCCAACTGACCCAAGGGATATTCTGTGCCACGGGACATTGTGTCAGTATAGAAAGTTGGGGAAGAAGGAGAAGGTGGGAGACGTTAGGAGGGATGGGGTTTGTCTTCCCACGTCACTGTTCCATGGATGGGCCCTGCTGTCCTGGAGGTGCTGAGCAGCTCCTGCCCGTGGGGAGCAGGGAATGAATTCCTTGCTTTGCTTTGCTTCTGTGTGTCTTTTGCTCTCCTAGTGAACTGTCTCTACCTCAACCCAGGAGTTTTCCAGGTTTTCCCCTTCCAATTCTCCCCCATCCCACTGGTGGGGAGTGAGCGGGTGGCTGTGAGGGGCTTGGCTGCTGCTGGGGTTAAACCACCACAGGGATGGAAAACTTCACCAGTTCAAACACCTGGAGGGGGTGAAGGGTGGCACAAGGTGTGAGGCTGAGGCTTGTGAGTGCTGCACCAAAGGGTGACATCAGTTCTGGGGGTGGCAGTGTCCAGCACCACATTTCAGTTCAGAGGTCTCAACCTCAGCACTGGCACTTGGGCAGGAGTTGGGATGAGCAACATGCAAAGTACCCCAAAATTGCCTTTTGCTGTACTGGGTGAGAATTTCCCTTATCTGGGTAATGTGCCTGAAATAGGGATAAACACTGAATTTTCCCCCTCCTCACACAGGAGTTATCCTTACTTTACATATCCTACATCATGGTACAGGACACACCTTCCCTTCCATAGGTCTTGATTTACAAGTCACTTCCAGTTGTTTTGTCTGATACTTTTGTGTTTTCATCTGGGAAATCCATGAAACAGCACTGAAAAAAAAAAAGGCAAATGGATCTGTGTGGTTTTTATCGAGCTCCTTTCACGGGATCACAAGATTCTCTTCCAAATTCTGAGTTAGATGCTGTTAGAATAGTAAATATGTAAATTCATGAGTAATTTGCAAATGTCCTTGAGCCACTGAACCCGTTGCAGTTGCACAGCATGTCTCAGCTCAATGGAATTGTTCAAGTTCTTACTCCAGATGACGGAATTGACTTTCATCTTCCCACATTTAAAGGCTTTCCCTTTCCCATCTCTTTAGCTACAGACAATAAACAGGCTGAAGATATCACAGGGGCAGGAGGGGCAGGCAGAGAAGTAAACACCACTCGCCTCTGTTTCCAGCTTCTTTTGCTTTGCCCTGCTGTGCTGCTCAGCTCACCCACTTTCGCAGGCCCTGGAGCTGCTGAGATGCTGTGCAGAGCTCCTCAGCTCTCTCCTGTGCTTTGTGGGCACCATGGGGAGTGTGTGGGGTGGATCACACCCTCAGCTGTCTGGATACACATTGCCAACCTAACGTCATGGGAGACACCTCAGTATTTTGGGTGTAATCATAGTAACTTGCCATTTTGGTCTGATAGTCCTTAATTTAACCTTTCAGGCCTGTCTCTGGCCCCTGTCCCTATCCAAAGGGATGTGTGAAGTTGTTACTTGTCTTTGAGTAATCTTAATTCTCTCTATCTGATTGCGTGGGGAAAAGGATTAACCAGGTTCTTGGAGACCTCTGCTGGTAATAGCTCCTGCTAAATCAGATTTTCTTATGGCAAAATAGGGCAAATGGCCATGAAAGAAATCCAAATCACTCCCTTGTTTAAAGGGACCTTCTGGCAAGCAACAGTTACAGAAGGTAACTCAAGAAAGCCCAAGGTTTTGTGTGGTCTTCAAAAACATGTGGCAGTTTTGGCATTTGATCTGCATGTGGAGTTTGGCTGAACTTAAACTGTATTTACAAAGGAAAAAGCCAATAAAGTGATAAAAATATGTGAAACACAAATAGAGTGATAATCTCCTAAATGTCTGCAAACTGCCAGTGCCAATTTGCATCACATTTGAGCAAAATGTGCCTCCAACATCTGCTTTTGGACTGCCTAGGTTTGTTCAGAGTGTCATTAATGCAATTACTGGGTCCAGAGATTGTTCACATGGGTGGAAGATGTCCCTGTGCCAGTACCTGTAGGTGTGGGGCTAATCTAATCTGAGACAGAGCTTAGACCTGAGGTAGTGCCTATCCCCACACGGGCCTAAATTATCAGAATAACCTTAATTTCACTGCAGAGGTAGTTTTAATTTACTGGTTTTGAAGTTGGATGGTAAAATGTGGAGCTTTGAAGCCTAAGTTTTGAGATCCTGAAGAGGACAATGTCTCTGTTTGAAGGCCCAGGGATGTCAGTGGCATTTATTCCACTGGGGCAGCAGCTGAACTGGTGCTTTGGTTTTGTATAATGATCAGGATTTCTCAAGCTCTTCTTTTTCATCAAGACTTGTTACTAAAGTGAGAGCAGGTTCTGGACTTGCCCATGCCAACTTCAGAAAGCAGAACCAGACTCATGGAAGAAAAATAACCTTTAGCAACTATTAAGACGTTATGAATCCAGCTCTGAAATGTGCTAACAAAGGAAGAAGTGGCTGTTTCCTTGCACCTGGAGAGCTGTGCCTGCTGGGCCCAGGCACAAGGCCTCACCCTTTGGTTCTGCATTGCAGCTCAGCCCAGCTGGGTGCAGAGGATCAGCGATGTGCACGCAGCCATCGAGGAACGCGTGGCCTGGGAGTGCCGAGCCAGCGGGAGACCGAAGCCCTCGTACCACTGGCTGAAGGATGGGGAACCACTGCTGCCCCAGGTAGGCACTGCCACGGCCCTTGGCTGGGGAGGAGGCTCTGCCAGCTCTTCTCTCTGCATGTTTGTTGCTTTTGGAATGGAGAGAATCAGAGAAGCATCAAAGCTGCAAGAGACCTCTAAGATCATCAAGTCCAACCATTAACCTGTCACTGCTGTGACCCCTAAACCAGATCCTCCAGTGCCAGATCAGACACCTCTTAATCACCTCCAGGGATGGTGACTCCACCACCTCCCTGGGCAATATTCTCTAAAATCATAGAATCACAGAATGGTTTGTGTCGGGGGCACCTTCCACTAGCTCAGGTTGCTCCAAGCCCCATCCAACCTGGCCTTGAACACTGAGTCATCCACAGCTTCTCTGGGCAACCTGTGCCTCAGCACCCTCACTGCAGCCCTGCCATGCCTGGTGGTCACCTCTGTGTGCCCTCAGGAGAGCTGCTGTCAGTGGCAAGCAGGACAGATGACAGCTCTGTGATCAGAGGTCCTCCCCAAAATGCATGATACAATCCTAAGGGTGGAGAGACCCTTGTGAAGAAGAGGGAATGGCCAAATGAGGTCACTATGGGACTTTTTAGTTTATGATGTTCAGGTGAACTTCAAGGAATAATGAAACCTTTATGTCTCTACTGGTCTTTAATGCTGTTTCTGCTCCTTCTGATGAACTGTGTCGCTGTGCAGATGAACAGGAGCTGGGGAGACACATCCCCTCCCACAGCCACATCTGCTCAGCCTCTTGTGGGGGTCATTGCTCAGTCCATGATCTCCTTGGTATAAACACAAACTAAACCAAGTCGCCAAAGCTTTGGTTTCACAGTAGTTGGCACCTTTTTCCCTTCCCTCACTGTGAAAGAACATGGCAGCCCAGACTTGAGATGGCACAAACATTAAATTCCTGCCCTAAGGCCACGTAGAAAACCAATAGCTCTTTGTGTCAAACCTCCCAGGGAGGGAGGGAACACTTTGCTGGACTTATTAGAATGGATAACACAAGTTCCATGTCCTTAGGCTGACAAATGAGAGCCTGGTCTCTTGTTCCACACACTAATTTTCCTTGCTTCATGCTGGTCACTAGCAGATGGTCTTGTACTTAAATCATGTTAGTGGCTGATATGAAGTAAAGGATCATTAAATTACTAACATCTATATTGTTTGCTGAGGATTTTAAGTATTTGTCTCTGTGCTGGCTAAGCTGGCAACCAGTGTTCTGTCTTTATTGCCATATGTGCTCAAAATGGCCTCAGGGTGCACCAGGGGAGGTTCAGGTTGGACATCAGGGTGAATTTCTTCACAGAAAGCATTGGAACTGTCCAGGGAGGTGGTGGAGTCACCAGCCCTGGAGGTGTTCAGGGAACAACTGGATGTGGCACTCAGTGCTCTGGGCTAGTTGACAAGGTGGGCACAGGTTGGACTGATGGTCTTGGAGGCCTTTTCCAGCCTCAATGATTCCAGGATTCTCTGCAAATCCCACTGTTCCAAATGCTTTTGAGAACGAGGTTGGCTCTGATATGCCACTATGGAACAAAAGTGTATTTCCTGCTTCAAGCTTATCTACTTGAAAGGGATATTAATCTAAATGCTTTGGGTATTAAATCAATGAGAGGTCAAGGGGAAGTCCTCCAATTTAAATTGCATTTACCAACTCCTGTATTGGTTTTACCATTTAGTCTCTAACCTGACATAAATTTGGCTGGCAGAAAAATAGATTGAGGCATGCAAATTCTCCCAGTTACAGCTACATATTTTGGCCACCTCAGTGTAAAATACAGCACAGCAACCTCTGGGTTTATGTTTCAAGGAGGCATCTCCTTGTTTCCTTTGTAATTTGCTTTCCCATTTCCCACAGGGCAGAGTTCAGCTGGAGCAAGGCTCACTCACCATCACCAACGTCAGCTTGGCAGATGCTGGAATGTACCAGTGTGTGGCAGAAAACAGGCATGGCATCATTTTTGCCAGTGCAGAGCTGAGTGTCATAGGTAAGTTGACTTTCCTGAGCACTGCAAACCTTCCAAAACCAGGCAAATCCTCCCTCAAGCTGCTTTTGCTAAGTTTCAGCATCTGAAGCAGAAGTGCTGCTGGGGATCCTGGACAAGGTGTTGTGTTTAAGGAAGGCATGAAATGAGAAACTTAGATGGGCACAGAACAGGTGTTTTTCCATCATCCTCTTCCTGTACTCATCCAGGTGACTGAGCATGGAAAATGGATTCACTCTCTTGCTGGTCAGAAATGTTTATGGAGGCAATGGCCACAAAGTGAAACCCAGGAAATGCCACTTAAACATAGGACAAACTTCACTGTGAGCTTGGTTGAAGGCTAGAGCAGGTTTCCCAGAGAGATTGTGGCATGTCTGTCCTTGGAGATGCTCAGCATTCAACTGGACATGGCTCTGGGCAACCTGCTGAGGTTGGGGTGGGATGGGACCATCCCAGAGGTCCTGCCAGCCTCAGTCCTGGTAGTCTGTACCTCCTTCACAAGGGTTGTTTTTGTGCCAGTGGCAGGTCTGAAAACCTCTCTGCCAACATAGGGATGTAGTTTCAGAGGGTTAAACAGAATTCCTGACTACAAAACTGTGCTTCAGCTGTTTTCAAAGCAAACATTCAACAGCAGCATTCCCTGCTTCATCCCAGAGAACAGAGCACAAGGTCTCTCCCATTTTTAGCAGTTATTATTGGGCACTTCTTGCCATCAGTGATAGATGCCTGCATGGCAAAAAATCCACGTGAAGGATTGTCTGTGTTGCTGTTCAAGAGAAGTACAATAATGCTCCATAAATTAGCCATCACAATGCTGAGATTTATTGGACATGTTACTGCCTGAAAGAAAGCAAAATCAACCCACTGGTGCTTTTCCTGGCTGAAACCTGGTGAAAAAGATAGTCTTTGGGAGGATCTAGGTGTTCTCAGAAGAGAGAGGCTTGGCCTTTGCTGGTGGAGACCTCGAGTGCCTCCTCAGGCCTGGCAGCACCTCATGTCCACATGAAAAGCAAATCCTTGGAGAGTCTGAGCTGAGAAAGCTGCCAGGGAGCTCTGATTTGGGCAACTCCTCACCTGGGCTGTGCAATATTC